AAAAAAAAAAATTCGCATAATGGACTAGCTGTGACCTTAAAATTCGATGCTGTGAGATGGGTGGTGTGGTTTGTGCTTTAGTGGTGCTGGTTGTGGTGATTGTTTAGTGGTGGTGGTGGTGCAATGATAGGTTGTTTTTGGTGCGATGGGCAGTGACGGTGGTGGTGCGTTTTTGTTGTTGGTGGCGATGGACAGTAATAGTGGCTAGGCAGTGGTGGTTCGTTTTTGTTGGTGGTGAAGGTGGTTGTTGGTAGTGGCGGTCATAGTGGTGGATTTCTGTTGGTGGTGGAGGTGGTTGTTTTCCGTGGTGGTGGGGTGAGGGTGCGCAAGTGGCAGTGGTGATGGTGGTGTTTGTGATCAATAATTGGTTATTTTTTGTCAAATAAATAATATGTGACCTAAAAATTGTGACTGTGACTTACAATTTATTAAGTTGTAATCGAGTTGTGACCAATAAAACTTTTGATTTTGTAATCGATAAATAATCTGTGACAGATAAAATTTTTGATTCGTGATCTAGAAATAAATGTGACCTATAAAATTATTAATTGTGATTATGAAATAAGTTGTGACCAATAAAAAGATAAATTGTGACCAAAAAATAATGTGTAATCTAAAAAATTGTTAATTTGTGACCGATAATTTGATAATTTGTGACTGTCTAATAAGTCGTGACTTGTAATATTTGTGATTTGTGATCGATAAAAAATTGTTACGTATAAATTTTTTATTTGTGACCGATGAACAAATTGTGACATATAAAATTTTTGAATCGTGGCCAATAAAATTTTTATTCGTGACCGATGAATAATGTGACCTATAAAATTTTGATTCGTGACCGAGGAGTAAGTCGTGATCAATAATTTTGATAAATTATGCCGAAAATTAATTTGTGACTAATTAATTATAGAATTGTGACCAAATTGCATATAATTGTGACCTTACTATATTTAATTAGTAAAAAATATATTTAATAAATTAATTTATAAATAAAATTTAAAAAAATCTGATTTTTGAAATAGGTGATACTTGTGCTCTTGTTTCTGAAATTTCCCCCCTTTTTTTTCGAAAAGCATATTTCACATAGTCTGATTTTGTTGTGTGCGTTGTCCTTATTGCTGTGATGCTCGTGATTGAAGAAGTAAAATACTTTTCTGCAAAGCCCTTCTCCCATATGATCTATTTCTTTTGTGCCTTGCAGCTTGAAGATGAAAATCCTGTGGAATTGGTTCTTGTCATGACTGTTGAACCTGGATTTGGTGGGCAGAAGTTCATGCCAGAAATGATGGATAAGGTATGTAAATGTTGTTCCTCGGCATTTTTTTTTGTTTGTCGCAGTTTCTATTATTAGCACAATTTTCATAATAACATCCATGGGACTACAGGTGCGTACACTGAGGAAGAGTTATCCATCACTAGACATAGAGGTGAGTTCAGGTGCCTTATCGTGGTTAGATTTCGTTAGCTTTCTCATATCTGTTCTCGATATTGAGGTAATATTCGTCCTTATAATAGTGGTTTTTCAGTTGTTAGCTTTACCCAGCCTCAACGAAACTGAGATCAAACTGGCTTCCGAAGAAAACCCATCTTAACTAATTGACGAACTGGAAATTTTGTTGCATACTGGTGTGAAAGGCATTCTCAACACGTTTGAAGTGTAATGATGAGGGTAAAGAGTTGTCCATTTTTTATTTTTGTGTTGTAGTCTCACCTCTAATGATTTTAGGATTTGGGTTAAGAACATTGGTGTTCGGCCGGTCTCTTAATTTTCATATAAACTTCATTTTGCTCTAAGTTGATTGCCGGGCTTAAACATTTATTACAACTTGGTCATTCCATCCATACTCATTAGTTTGACTAATGGAAAAGCTGGTGTGACAATATGAAAGTTTAGTACCAACATGAAATTTCTCCAAAAAATTAGTGACCACCAATGTATTCTTGTTGATTTCACTATGAAACAAGTGGTGGATGAAGTTCATATAGTTGAATTATTAAGAAAAATACTTAGTTTCTTGTTGTATAGTCTCAGCTCTAAATAAGAGTAGCCTTTGATTTTGTTTTGCAGGTGGATGGTGGTTTAGGAGCTTCAACTATTGATATGGCAGCTTCTGCCGGAGCAAACTGCATTGTTGCGGGAAGTTCGGTTTTTGGCGCTTCTGATCCAGCTCAAGTTATAGCCCTACTGCGTAAGAGCGTAGAGGATTCCCAGAAAACTAAATAAAACTTCCCATGGCAAGAAAAGCAGTTTAATTTGATATCTCATAGTTACACTACTGAGTGTACCATAATGATTTTCCATCATGTATATCATCATAAAATGGGAAGTGGGTGTAACTTTTTTGAATGTGGACTATGCATAAACTATTATGGTGTGTTTGGTATACTTGATTAGACTATGTTGAATGGTATTATGGAAGAAAAAAGATAATCGAAAGTTTGTTCAATTGTCCAGCTAGTCCAATTTCAGTAGTGTGTACCAAACATGACCTAAAGCTTATACCTTGGTTTATGTTTATGCAGTGTTATCTTTTGTCTGTTTCTGGAGTTTGGTTTGGTTTGGAAGAGTTTAGTGTGCTGTTAAGATTTGGAGGTGTTGACATACATCTTTGATTGTAAAATTATTTTATTACAGGTAAAATAATAATTTTAATTAAACTTAAAAGAAGAAAGTATCTCAACTCATTCTTGATCTACCACTTCGACTGTGAAATTTAATTTAGTGAGGGTAAAATATTTTTTAATTAAATTTAAAAGGAAAAAAGTATCTCGACGCATTTTATTTTAGTCCATGTTCGGTCTTCATCTTTTAAAATTAGTTTTTATTTTTAAAAAATTAGTTTTAACAATATATTTTATGAAATGCACAACTTTTATTAATTTTTTAATCAAAAACTTCATCAATTTTATTAAAATTTAATTTTCAACTAATTCAAATTGGGACTTAATTTCGTTAGGGAGATAAAAGAGTTCACAGGTAGATCTTGTTCTCCATTTCTGTTAAAATGTTTGGCTAAGCTTAAAATTTTACTTATATAATAAGTTTTAATATTAATTTTTTTTTATTTTATGAACCAAAAAAAAATAATAAGTTACTTATTTAACATAAAGCAAGAGTTAGTTTTTAAGAAAGCAAGGATGTGTTCTCTTTACCGTTTTCGATTTTTCAAAACAGTGAAAACGCGTTTTTGAAAACAAGTTAAAAATTTACAAAGAAAACCCAAAACGAAAAATTTGTCGTTTTGGAATAATCAACCCAAAATTTTCAAAACACGTTTTGAATGTTATCAGTTTGGATTAATCCATTTATACATAATGGTTTGTATGGATTACTCTCTCTCACATAATGCGCAGGACTCGCATGTATTTAAAAATTCTGACAATGCGGTCCACGTCTCCATTGTGAGTAGTAGGTAAAAGATCGATAAAAAATTCGGTACATGTAGCATGATCCTTTCAGTTTAACGTCATCCCAACCGCCACCTGCACCACACCACTGTTGCCGTAACCACCGCCATCGCCGTCTACACCACACCACCACAAAAATCAGCATCGCTGCCGTCGCCACAACATCACCCCAACCACCACCATCGTCGCCTGCACCACACCAACACACAACCACCGATCTGCCACCACCACAAAAATTGTCACCACACAATCGCTAGATCCGCCACCACAAAATAGCCAAAATAGCCTCAGAACCACCGCCCAGCCACGCACCCAAACACCATCGCCACAGCTACAACCTGCACCACACCACTGTCGCATACCACGCACTCAAAACCACCACACACCACCGCCACGGCCACAACCAAACCACAGTAAAAAAAATAGAGAGAGAGAGAGAGAGAGAGACAGAGACGAATCGTCGGCGATCGCAGCCACAACCAGCTACCGTTCCTACTCATCGACAGAAAGGAGTGGAAGAAGAGAGAGAGACAACGAGAGAGGGGAAGGGGAGACGAGAGACGAGAGAGAGGGGAAGAAAGAGAAAGCATTTTCCAATTTTTGATTTTTGAAAATAATTTTTCAAAACGCCAAAAAGAACACATTTTGAACAATCACAAAATGGACATTCAAAACACAAAATCCAAAATGAATTCAATATTTAAAACATAAAACTGAAATATAAAAAGAACAGCCCCTAAACTTTTTTAGAAAAAATGAATTATCCAAACCGTGTTTGGTGACATCTATAATTACTTCAAAATAGTTTTACTTTTTATCTAAGCTTGGCCAATCGTGCTCACATGTCTGATTGATTATTTTCATTTTTTCGTGAATAATTTTTTGCTTGGGTTTTAGAAATCGTTTCTCCGGGTATAGATTTTTCTTTATTTTCTATGAGTAAACATTTAGGGCCCATTTAGTTTGTGTTTTAATTTTCAATTTTCAGTTTTGAATTTTGAATTTATTTTCAATTTTTTGTTCTGGGTGGTCTATTTTAAAATTACTAAAAAAGTGATTACTTTGTCATTTTGAAACATCATTTCTCAAATTTTAAATTTTTTTTTAACATTTTATTTAATGAAATTTGATTATTCAATAAAAATTAAACAATTTTATTTAATATATTGTCAAGTAAAATTTACATTTTAAATTTGATTTAGAGCCTGTTTCACAATCATTATTGAAGAAAAAAGAGTTTTGAGTAATGATTTTTAGGAGAATGTGTAGTTAAAAAGTAGGAAAAAAATTGGTATACGTGTAGAATATTTTATTGTGAGATTGTGTAGTTAAAAATGATCATGTAGCAATCCATAAAATAAATTAATGGCTGTCAAGCAGGCTTATTTTCTCTTCCTACAAAAGTAAAATAAAAACAAATAATAAATTGAGTTCAAGATATAGAAAATAAAAATTAATAATGTGGATTGAGAATATTTCTATTTGTGTCAATTTAATATATTTTAGAATTTTTACGTAAATAATCATTAAGAGTGAACTATTTTTATTTTTTATAATATTTATTTTTTCTAGAAATTTTTAGGTGCCGTTCTCTTTGTATTTCAGTTTTGTGTTTTGAGTTTTGAATTCATTTTGTGTTTTGTGTTTTGAGTGTCTGTTTTGAAATTTCTGAAAATACGTTTTTTTTGTCATTCTGAAAAACTTTTTGAAAACATAAAAATGGAAAACGCGTTTACTTTGAAATTTTGAGAATTTTTTTTAATAATATTTTATTCAAAAAATCTGATTATTCAATAAATTTTAATGGTTTAATGTTAATATAGTATTAAATAACATATAAATTTTGAAATTGGTGAAATTTCAAATGTTTTTTTTTTCAGATATTAAAAACACAACCTAAATTACATTTGACAAGTCCTTGTTTTTGTTATTGTACGTAACTTGTGACAAGAATTAACTAGCA